AGACTTTGGGGCGGCGGCTGACCTGCGGCTGGGCATCAACTACGTGCCAAACGAGTACCTGCTCGACCCCAGGTGATTGATTGTAATTGAGTTGCATACGCATGGACATTGTTCAAATTTTATCCTATTCTATCCGGTTCTGTGTGCTTCATGACGAGGACACCTTTTTGAGTTGAGAGGTGCAGAGTCTGCTTTCGCACTGCCCGGGGTGTAGGTGGATGGGGTCGTTCTGTCGGTCTTGACAAGTGTTCTGGGTGGAAACTTGTGAAGCTCGCCAAGAGTGGGCATGAGCGGCGTGCTTGAGCTTCTGCTGAGAATTCAGCTACCACATGACACATGGGCACGGTGGGTCCGCGGCAAGGGGTGAATGCCTGGGATGCGACCCGCGTGAAACCACAGCTCCTCACACACCGTGCTCCCTTGCCTGCCCTTCCCCCCCAACATATGAATCAGGTACGCGCCCCCCCAGCAGTACATCATGTCCCGCCAGACCCCCAGGCCGCCCCCCAAGCCTGTGGCGCTGCTGCTGGCGCCGGTGCTGTGGGCCATGGAGGCCCCCGACAGGTGGGCCCCCTGAGATCCCCCTGCAACTGGAAGCTTGCCAGGCACCTCCGCCCCCCTGGTGGCACTGCAGCCTGGTGGACTTGAATTTTATAAAGTACCCGCAAATGATTATCACCGGGATTGCTGCTACCCACCCTGCTCTACTTTTTCCAGCTCCACATCTCACTACAGAGGCCTTGACCACCCTTTGTCACATCCTGCACACAACGCCTCATCTCTCCCTCCTCGACCTCAAACCCTAAACCCTAAACTCCAAAACCCCGACCCCCTTGCACACCAAACCTTCGCCCCATCAGGTTTGACATGTACAGCGTGGGCATCACGCTGCTGCAGATGGCGTTCCCCGCGCTGCGCAGCGACAACGCCCTCATCGCGTTCAACCGCAAGCTGCGCAAGGAGTGCGGCTGGGACCTCAACAAGTGGCGCGCCAGCGAGGCCCTGGGCAAGTGAGCGGGGGGCGCGCGGCGGGGGGTGGGGACCGGGGTGGTTGGGTGGTTTCGGGTTTTGAAACCAGGATTTAGGGTTTGGGTTGTCAGGTGTCCTGCAGCTGCTGGGCTGGGTTGGTTCAGGGGGATGGGGGCTGCAGCTCAGACCTTTGAGGCGTCTTTTGGCACGCGCTTTCGTAGCGCTCAGGGTGCGAGTGCGGCTTCGAAGAGCGCGGTGGCGAACATGTGCTGACCAAAATACATGTATGATGCGCTCTCTCTGTCTCTTACACACACACACACACACACACACACACACAAACGCGCGCGCACACGCACGCACACACGACCGCCAGGCGCAACGGCCAGTGGCCCAAGGACCTTGAGGAGGGCTTTGAAGTGCTGGACGCCAACGGGGGGGAGGGCTGGGACCTGGTCTGCAAGGTGGGCAGGGGGGGTGCTTTCGTATGTGTTGTTTGGGGCGGAAGGGGGCGGGAGGGTGTAATCTAGAGTGCATTGCAGGGAGCTTCGTCGGCGCATAAGGTTCGCGCGTGTGCGTGGGCAGCGGAGCAAGGTGCTCTGCAGGAGGGGCGCAGCTGAACGCCGAGAGCCACGGGATGGGAACAGGGAGGCTGCACTAGGGGGTTTCAGCGACAGAAAGCGGCGCACGCGCTGCCTGGAGGACGCCCGATGCCACGTGGTGTCGTCACGGCTTTGCGGTTGGCTGCTGCTCATGAGGGTTGAGGAATCCTGGCAGCAACTGAGGTCCCAGCCTGAGGTTTACAAAATCTTTACGCCCACAACCAACGATCCTCACTATCAGCACCCTCAAATGCTGTCTTGCCCTTCAAACACCCCTCATCACTCAACCGTGTGCACCACACCCTCCCCTCTGCCACCCGCCCCCCCCCCC